TACTAATTTTTAAAGTATCAAACTGAATTTTTGTTCAATAAAAATCTTTCAAATGCAACTCTAGCTTTTTTTCCCCCAAAACTTTGTCTTCAAAATAAGGGTGCGTCTTATATTCCGAAAAATACGGTAATACCTGGGACACATGTAGCCCAACATCAGTGCCTGTTAGTAGATATTATATACGTACATGATGTATTAAAACTTCAAGAAACTTACGTGGGAAAATACTTGCAGAAAGAATTCCTTACGTATCTTAGGTTATTTATATGTACGTATATGGTTTCTATTATATTTATATAATAGTGGCTACTTACCAACTGGATTACACAATTCCTCATCGCTTCCATCTAAACAGTCACGATGACCATCACAAACCGAATATTCTCGAACACATTCACTGTTTTTGCAGCGATACTCTCCATACCAGCAGCTTCTATAAGCTATCAAAAGAAAATGAAGTTAGGAACTTCTACAGATGAGCATATTTGGCTTTAAATTTTTTTATGTTATTCAAAGTTCCAATAATGACGAGAAGTGAAACTCTACCTAGTTTTACTTTACACATTTATTCAGTTCTATTCTTTTACTTTACTTCGTACTAAAATATTTTGTTTTTTTTTAGAACAAAGTCACACTAGGCTATCGGGTGGGTCTACCGCGGAGAATCAAACCACGGGATTTTAGAGTTAGAAGTCCGGAAACTGACCGCTGTCCCACCGGGGGACAATCAAAACGTTTAGTAGCGTTTGTTTTCAAATAACATACTATATATATCTATCTATATAAGTATAGAATATTTATGTAATTATAATACCGGTGAATGTTGTAGATGTGTACGTATTTGTGAATTTTTAACTCTCTTCGAACCCCGACTGTATGATTTATTCAAAAAATAACTTGGAATTCTCAATCTAAACAACGCACACGCACTTGAACAGACATGTCCCTAAGATTTAGTTTTAGAGGTCCCAAATTTTGAACTATATTTTTATACTGATCAGAAAGAGAAGGTAGCCAGTCAGCACTTATTAAACTTTTGATTGTTACTTTTATAACGCGTCCACAGTTGAAACTGGGCCTTCAAATAAAAAAATGCCACAATAATATATTGAATGTTGCTTTTCTTTTTATAAGCCTATCTACAACGTTTTTTAACCAATCATTTGTCACTTATATCGTTTCAAGGCCCACAGACTGACCTACATTAAAATCCCTTTATTTCGACCTTTCAATTTTAAAAAAATTAACCCTTGAACTTGACAAATTTAAAAAAAACTTCAGACAAATCAAACAAATCATGAGGCAGAGGTTTTTTTACAACGTGATTTTTAACATGTTGGTGTTTAATTTAACCCTAGATCAAGATATATCACCAGAATATCAGTCGTCTGAAGGCGATAAAAATTTAACCCGCAATTCAACGTAGATATTTTTTACGTGAAAATATCAAAACGAATTTCGGAGCCTCTTCAACTGAGCTCCATTTGCATTAATCTTCTGTTCTTTGAAGATTTGTGGTATACATAGAGACATTTATTAATTACTGCTAGTTCCAAAATCTTCAGACCTTTCTTATGTAGCTTTCCTAGAGAAACAGATTGGTGCTAGATGACTTTTTTTGTTTCTATTTATAAAGCTAAGCACAAGTGAAATGGAGAACAGCAAAGTAATTAATTAACTTTCACAAGAGTAAAAAAAGTTTGTTTGTTTCTTTGCAATGAAGCATAAAACTACACAATGGGCTATCTGTGCTCTGCCCACCACGGGTAGCAAAACCAGGATTCTAGCGTTGTAAGTTCGCAGACATATCGCTGTGCCACTGGGGGGCAGTAAGAAAAGTGAGCGCGACAGTTCAACAGGTCCGTATAACTAATGTCTTTAGCTAAAGCTATATTATTTTACTTTTGTTGGGCGCCCCTTACACTCTTGCGTGTACGTGTGTCTGTTAATTTAGTTCTGTAAACTATTAACGTATTTTATACGTTTTTAACTCTGATTAATGCACAGAATTTTCAATGGTAATTTTTATCAACTTAACAGTTTAGTTCAGAATGTTCGGTGTTTTCTTAGGGTATGTATTTTTGTTTATAATTTCGGTTAAAGTCTTTGTTTTGTTTGATTGTTTGTTATGGATTTCGCCAGCAGTCCCTAATTAAGCAGTGTAAGACTAGAGGGAAGGCAGCTAGTCATCACCACCTACAGCCAACTCTTGGGCTACTCTTTTACGAACGAATAGTGGGATTGACCGTCACATTATAACGACCCCACGGCTGAAAGGGCGAGCATGTTTGGTGTGAGGAGGATTCGAACCCGCGACCCACAGATTGCGAGTCGAGCGCCCTAACCACCTGGCCATGCCGGGCGCAAGTAGTTTGAAACAACGAACTCAAAGGATAGTTTCAATTTTGTCAGAAAGTTTGTGTTACCCATTTTAACCAGAACCTCATAAAATACCATCTTCCAGAAGCTTTGTGTTTTTGTCACAGAATTATTGATAACAAGAGTTTGATCTAAGATACCAATTCTATTGCCTTAAGTAACGTTATTTCATGAAGCTAATAGTACCACCCTCAAGTAACGTTATTTCATGAAGCTAATAGTACCACCCTTAAGTAACGTTATTTCATGAAGCTAATAGTACCACCCTCAAGTAACGTTATTTCATGAAGCTAATAGTACCACCCTTAAGTAACGTTATTTCATTAAGCTAATAGTACCACCCTCCAGTAACGTTATTTCATGAAGCTAATAGTACCACCCTCAAGTAACGTTATTTCATGAAGCTAATAGTACCACCCTTAAGTAACGTTATTTCATTAAGCTAATACTACCACCATTAAGTAACGTTATTTCATGAAGCTAATAGTACCACATTAATTTCCACATTGTACGGTCGTTATTCAGGGACTACCTTTTATTACAATCGTATTATGGTTCATTTTTTGTAAAATAATTAAATTATTTTGAGAATTTCAACTTACTTAATGTTTTCTTTTTCACACGAAACAATTTATTTTATACAAATTTCAACTTTCACCCCTATTTTATACAAGTTTCAATTATCACTCCTATTTTATACAAGTTTCAATTATCACTCCTATTTTATACAAGTTTCAATTATCACTCCTATTTTATACAAATTTCAATTATCACTCCTATTTTATAAAAGTTTCAATTATCACTCCTATTTTATACAAATTTCAATTATCACTCCTATTTTATACAAGTTTCAATTATCACTCCTATTTTATACAAGTTTCAATTATCACTCCTCTTTTATACACATTTCAATAATCACTCCTATTTTTATACAAATTTCAATTATCACTCCTATTTTGTCTTCGCTTTACCAAAGAAGCTCGTGCTTCACAAATGATTTTATACTAAAGGAACATGACTTCAAATTATTTGAAAATCTCAAAGACTAGCTTCTAGCTCTGTTTAATTTTAATGAATGAAAATAAGGGATAAAATAGAAAATTGCTGCTTACAACAATTATGTTCATCAGAGAGGTCGCCACAGTCGTTAACAAAATCACACACTGCATCGTTCGGCACACAAAGATGGTTGTCGCATTTAAAGTGTGTAAGTGGACAGATGTATGTTTCTGAAAATAAATATATAAATAAATAAAACACGCAATAACTACTTCAGGAAATACGTTTATAATTTGCTATTTTTTTTATAAAACTAAGTTCAGAAAAACAAGTATTTATTTATCAATCCTATTGTTTCATGGATATAAGCTGTTGTCTTTCTTTCTGAACAGAGTTGCCAAATATATCACTTTACTAGTTAGGCTTATAAATCCATGGAGATAATTTGTTTGTAGTTAAGCACAAAGCTACATAAAGGGCTCTCTGTGCTCTGCCCATCACGAGTATCGAAACCCGGATTTTAGCGTTGTAAGTCCGCAGACATACCGCTGGGCCACTGGGGGGGCTCCTCATAAGATTACCAAATGTATCACGTCAATAGTTAGGTTAATAAACAATCAGTTTTTTTTTCCATCACAAGGTTACAAAATCTGTTTCTTCACTAGCTAGGCTAATAAACCCATGGAAATAAGCAGTTGTTACGACAGCGGAAGTCACGTGACGCTGCTAGCGCATGCGTGACTGAGTTTCTCGAATTATCGGGAAAGCTCGAGTGTGATCGAGACGCATCTTTGTTAGTATATAAGCCTGGCGAGAAAAGCCAGCAGCAATGAATGTATGGATGTTAAAACGAACAGTGGTCACGGTGAGTTACGGGTAATTCACGATTCTGTTTCGAGCTAGTGTGTGTTTTGCACTCGTAGAGAGCGAAATTATCGAGGTTGTGAATCGCTGTGATTTATAGCAAGTATTATAAAAGTTGTTAAGTTTAAAGTGACGAGAAACGTACTGACTGTGGAATTACTGTGTACTAAAAGTTTCTATCGAGAAAGAATAAACTGTTTTAATCAAGAAAGGACTTGTATCGTTGAAGTCACTCGGAAAGAATGTTTGAATTTCGCGCAAAGCTACACGAGGGCTATCTGCGCTAGCCGTCCCTAATTTAGCAGTGTAAGACTAGAGGGAAGGCAGCTAGTCATCACCACCCACCGCCAACTCTTGGGCTACTCTTTTACCAACGAATAGTGGGATTGACGTCACATCATAACGCCCCCACGGCTGAAAGGGCGAGCATGTTTGGTGTGACGGGTATTCGAACACGCGACCCTCAGATTGCGAGTCGAGCGCCCTAACCACCTGGCCATGCCGGGCTGATTACAAACGAAGAATAAAAGAAAAATTTATTTCAAATTTGAGATTACTGTTTAGGTATAAAATTTACGTAAAACAATATTTCTCAGTTGTTGAATGAGGATCGCTTATTTTTAAACTGAACAAGAAAGAAAACTTTCTTATAAGATAATTAACTAAATAAAACTTTGAATACAGAATGATAAACGGAATTCTATTTTTAAACAAAAGGGAATCCTCAATAGCAGCGGCACTTGAAATTCTTTCAGGCAGAATTAGAGTAAATGAATCTCTGAGGCCTTTTTTTTTTCTTTTACTTGGCTTTATTTTTGTGCGCCAGCAATACCAAGCATGGGGCGCGCGTATACTAGGTTCGATTTTATTACTCTTCAGGATCTCTACCCGCCCACCCTCAAATTAAAATTATTTTAGGCAGAATTAGAGTAAATTAATCTATGTGACCCTGGGCGTGGTCAAATACGTCAATCGAAAGGGCTTGACCTCCTGAATCAAAAACTGTAATTAGATCTCAAATCGGTAAAGGGATGAACGGATCTATGAGCTTTTTAAAAGTTTGTACTTGAAAAAAAAAACAACCACAAATTAACTCTGAGCCGTTCTATGAGCCGTTATGCCGCGGCTAAAAATAAATAAAAATTTTATTATAAAGTTTTAGGTTACATTCTTTCCATAACATTAAGAATAATTAATGAAATGAGATACTAAGAAATAAATTAGTTTAGGGGTTAATCAAAAGTGGTTTCCATTTTTTAATACTCCCCACAACATTGTTAGAAATATCTTTTAAACTATGTGCGAAATGTGATATTAAATACTAATTGAATCGCTAGAGTTTTTATTGGCATTTTATTAGCAAACGTGGCTAAGTTTTTAAATTATATATATATTTGTCATGAAATCTTGGATAAACTGTGACTTTGAGTATCGATTATTTACCTACTCGCATCCAGTTACATCATTATTTCGAAACTATGTGCAAATAACTTAAGTTTAAATAACACTACGTGTAAAAAAATATTGGAAATAGAAATATTATTTAATTTCATTTGAACTCAATAAAAAATCAAGTCGAGGCCATGATTCTCATTTCAGCTGACAGTCTTAATTCTGGCCTTCATTATTTTTCATTGAATTCAAATACAAAATATTTCTATTTTACATCATTTTTCGTAAAAAAAAAAGTATAAATTATTTTTGGACCTTTCCAGGCAAATTCCACGTTCCAAACCCACTATTATAAATGATTATTAAACAACTGTAATATAATTGTGAAGTTTGTTTGTTTGTTTGTTTTGAATTTCGCGCAAAGCTACACGAGGGCTATCTGCGCTAGCCGTTCTTAATTTAGCAGTGTAAGACTAGATGGAAGACAGCTAGTCATCACCACCCACCGCCAACTCTTGGGCTACTCTTTTACCATCGAAATGTGGGATTAACCGTCACATTATAACGCCCCCCACGGCTGATAGAGCGAGCATGTTTGGTGTAACGGGGATTCGAACCCGCGACCCTCAGATTGCGAGTCGAGCGCCCTAACCAAAATTGAAACCTGTAAATTCAAAACTTAAAACAGTCTTCGTCCCCCCCCCCTTTAAAATGAACTTATGACCTGTACAACAAGAAAACGTGGCAATTCATTTGATTTAACACAACCTACAAATTTCTTAAATCTTGGACATGTCTTAGTTCTAAGAGCTAAGTTCAAATACCGCAGTTTTCTTCGTCCGAGCCATCCGGACAATCTTGCTGTGTATCGCAGCGACGAATGTCGTCTATACAAGTTCCGTTGCAATACAGCTCATTTGTTAAACAACCTGCAACAAAGACATAATTTGGTAATTTTTTTTTAGACAAAAGATAAGCTCACTTCTAACATAAGAACTACAGAATAACTGAAGTTATAAGACAAGAAACAGTGTTCCTGATTAAAACTTTCCCCAAAACCCTGAAAAAAAGCAAAGCAAAAAACAAAGAAACACACCTGAAAAGAAAGAAGTCAGCCAAGACTTGTGTTATTAAGTAGTTATGAAAACAGCTGTTGAAATACCGTTTTACCCGGTAGAATTTTTAATTAGTTTAAACATTGTATAATATCTTTAAGCCTTTGCGTACGTCTATACATATAAGAACGACATGAAAACAATATAAAAAGCTGCATAAAATATTTTCCAAACTATTACAGATCGGAAGACACCTCACTTTAAAACGTGAAACATAGCATTACATAGGTTTCTCTATTGATTTATAATGACGTAAACTGGCACCCACTGGAAAATGAATTTTTATGTTCAAAAACAAACTAGATTCTTGCTCTCAACCAGTTTAATATCGTCCTAATACGATGTAACCACTACTGGTCTTTGTGGCGTGCTCTCAGCTAGTCTCACACTGTCCTAATACCGTATAGCTTCTGCTATTCTCTAGGGGAATGCTCTCAACCAGTTTAATAT